GAATTCTAACCAGATGTACCAGCTCTTGGGCGCTGACGTAGGGACTGCTCTGTCAGAAGTTGTTACCCTGGAAGGTGATGCTTGTATTTCATTGGTGCTCCTCTGCCAGAACCTCTTTAGAAGTCCTAGGAGGTTTAGGAGGTAAATATGTAAGCCATCTGAGGAAGCAAGTCTCACCCCATGTTTGACCAAGAATCATCTCATCTGGCTTGGGAACTCACCCTACTTAGTAGACCAGGCTCTGAACAGCCTCCTGCAGTTTCTCAAAGTGACCCGCCTCGAGAGGAGGAAGGTTTGCTGCCACTGAGAGTGCCAGGGCAGTGTTCTGCAGGTTCTAAAGGTCACTTGGAAAGAGAAGTTCCCAAATGTTCTGTACTGTAGCAGTGCCGTGGGAGTCAGGGTGCCTCCCAGAATGCCTGCTGGGAAATGAGACGGCACGCGCTCTGGGTCTGAGGGTAGGGCGGTCTTCTGAAAGCCAGGCGCTTATTTCACATTTCTTCCTGGTGTGCAGCAGGTGGTTTATCAAGTACTGAGGCTTTGTCATCTGTTCAGGAGGCATTTACCGGCCGCTGTCTGCCAAACATAGTATGCTTTAGAGACATGATGACGGACATGTGTTAGTTTCTTCTCCAGGCAAGTTCACTATCTTGTGGATCAAAGGACTAAAGAGTTTTAAACTTGGCCAAGAATGCTGGGTTACAGGGTGATTGTGTGAGAAGAACAAACTGAGTAAAAATCGTGAGCCTGGGAGCTGGTGAAGACGTGCTCAGAGGACCCCCACATTTTGTTGTGTGCACTTAACAGACCACATGTTTTTCCTGGCACCTGACAGGGAGCATGTACTCAGATGTGTGTCAGATTGAATTCACCTCAGAGCAGGATGCTGATGCCCAGAGAGCCAATTAACTTGCCCAGAGTGAGTCCTGGAACAGAAACCATCTCCTGACCCCCGGTGACACTCCTCTTGTTTGCAGCCAGTGTGACTCAGGTTGCTTCTGATAAGCAGGTAGATTCTCTGACATGTTTCCTCTGTGAGATATTCACCTATGCGTGGCCTCAGATTGTAAAATCCCAGGAGGTCCCATAGAGAAAAGAGATGTGACTCCTTTCCTCAGGAAATTGTCAAGGCCTCCTGTAGGTGCCTGTGTGTTCTGGTGTGCCCGGGACAGCCCATTTTCATGCCTGTTGTGGTTGGTAACAGTGGCCCCTTTCAGTCGCAAACCCGTCCCCGAGTTTAGACAATAAGTTATGGATGTGGTAGTTCTGCTACTAAGTGCCAGCCGTTTGCTGAGCTCGCGGAACGCAAGTGAGTCTGAGCCCTTCCACACAGGTACTTCGTGAGGGGCAGGGGGGCGTCTCTACAGACTTTTGCAAACAGATAGTCATGTACAGTGTGGTGAGTATGGGTATGTAATAGAGTAACGTACAACATGCTAAGGGTAAGAGTTCTTTATCTGGGGGTGACGGTGGACCTCAAGTTTTAAACTCTCTGAAGTGGAAGATAAATGGTGTACCTCCAGGTTTTTCTTGGGAGAGGAACCATCCCAGTCATCAGATTCTCAAAGCCACCAATGCTCCCTGAAAGGCTGAGCACCTTTGACAGCGCCAGTCCCCCGCCCCCTTGACGGGAGCAGGTATACTCGGGACTGTGCGCTCCTCCATCTTCTTTTCTGGTCAATGCTGAAACCTGCCCTTGAGAGCAGGGAAGTTTTCTTGTGCTTGGACTGCTGACATGGTTTCCATCATTCAAACTGGGGGCACAAACAGGCTCTCAGGGTACTTCTTTTCCATGCACAGTACAGCGGCCTTGGATTTTCATTTGAGTCAGCGTTTCCTGTGGTGTCAGTATAGAGGTGTGCACCTTTGGGGGCTTTCTTTTGTTTGATTCATCTTTAGTTTAAGTGCCTAAGGTTCAAACTTCAGACAGGTTTAAAATAAAAAAGTTAGTGACTGGCATCCCAAGTTCAATTCCCATGTGGTCATCACTCCTTTTTACCAATAGTCTACATAGTTCATACACTTTTCCATCTCTGAAAGTGTGTGGTTTTGGTTCTGGAAAGGCTGTGGTAGGAAGCTGGATGGCTCAGCACAGACCTTCAGAAGGGAGGAGAGGACAGCAGGCAGACTCTCCTGATTCAGTAGAAGCCCCCAGTTTATGTAAGGACTGTGGTCCAGAAAAGAATTTGCAAAGTCAGTTTGGAATTCAGGTCCCATTTTATAGAAACAGTGGCGGTCAGTTGGGGTTGGGTCCTAGCAGGTAGCAGGAGCCCGTTCACGCGTAGATCCAGCTCTGGGTCTGGGCACACGCTCTGGCAGCAGCTCTGAGATGCAGTCCCGGGACCGCGCCCAGTGGCCATGTGGCCTAGGTTTCCTTCTCTCTTGGGGGGAACGTCACTTATTTGGAAGGTTGTTGTGACGGAGTGGGTCAGGTGTCTGGCAGAGGACAAGTCTCTCAGCAGATGTGGGGCCTGTTGACTTCATTGCAGAGGTTGTTTTAGTGACATAGTCTTGCACGTTTAGGTTCTGGGGTTTGTTGGGTGAATTGCTCCCAGGCACCGCAGGAGAGTTGAACTCAGTCTGATGAGGGGAAAGGGTGTGGGTTTCACAAGTTGAGGGTTACCGATACTTGTGTGCATGTTAATCCCATGTGAACTGTGTGGAGCACGTGCTGAGCGTGTTACAGGGCTCATCTCATCGAATGGGCGCGAGGACGTAACACGGCTGCTGCTGTCCGCATACTTCAAATGAAGAAGCTGGGGTCTGGCTAGTTTGCGTCATTCGTCCAAGACCCAAAGGCTGGGAGGCAGGAGAGCTGGGACTCTGGTTCTCGCTCGGGAGCCCCACGCTGCACTGCCCCTCTGTCCCACAAAGACGCGGCAGCTGCCAGATGGACTGCCTGCTTTGCTGGCCCACAGCTGTGAGCTCACGTATTTGAAGTTAGGCGATCTTTTTCTTCCACTTCTTACCCTAGAATTTAAATTCCAGTTTGCCAGGAGAGAAAGCGCCTTTTGGTTGGACCTAATCATAACGGTGAAACCCAAGTGCAAACCTGTTGGCACCTGGGCCCCAGGAAGGGGCTGTTATCAAGTTACCGGGATCGAGCCTCTGTGCTGTGAGCAGGTGGTGTGCTACGAGTTTTGAGTGTCAGTTGTGTGGGTTTTAAACTAGTTTAAGGGGACACTTAATTTTTTTTTACCAGTTGATTGACTGAAGAGGTAACTTGGTTTCTGGGGTTTCCTTTAGACTGCACACTGAGGATTAAACCTGCCAGGTCCCCAGCAGTGGTGTGATGGGGCTCGGTGCATTTTGGCGTGACCGCCGGGCCACAGGGTCCCAGTTGCCAGCCTAAGCAACCGGGCAGCAGAAGCCCCTGCCCTTCTGTGAGAGTTCCTGCGTCTGGCGTGACACAGCCCAGGACCCATCTGCACCGGTGCTGCGGTGCCCCGTGGCCGTCCGTGAGAGTTGAGGCTGTGAACCCTCATTAGCCGGCCCTGTCTCGGTAGTACTCTCCCCTTGCTCATCGCCCTGGGCTGCGGGAGTGACATGTGTGGTGACAAGGAGGCCAGGAAGCTATGGGGCAGCAAAATACACCTCTTTGGGGCCAAGTTTGTAATGATTCTTTCCAGTAGTCCTACCTCTGCATAGGGTAATGAGAAAACTGAAAAGCGAATCCTTTTCAAAACTGTCTGCTTTTAAGTGACTTTGAATGGCTTGTAAATGTCTACTACTGCTAACCATTTGGTTTACTTATAAATGATGGATTTTAAGTGATTTGTCCTAGTGTGTGCTGAATTTAAATAATTTCCATTAACAGCAAAAAAAAATGTAACTGTGGATTCAAATACCAACTCTTGGTATGTTCATCTTTAAACACAGGTTCTTTTGAAAGTATAAGTTTAAAAGATATATTTTTAATCTTTATTTATATAAATGTATACAATAACTTTATATTATTTATATAGTACACAAACGTGTGTGTTTCCACATCTCACTGAGGCACCGAGTAGTATGAGTGTGGCACTCATTATTTTAAATCAAAAATTTTGAAGAATCAGGTGAACACTGAATCCTTTACTGTTGTTGTTGCTTCACACTGGTTAGACAGTTACTTGCTACACCTCGCAATGGTGGATGGTAAAAGTTTACTTATGGGCAATTTGATTTCAGGCGCACACGCTCCTACCCCACTTCTGCAGCCTGCATTTAAAACTAATGGAACAGCATCCTGTCTTTGCACACTGAGGTGGGAAGAGCAGAAAACAGTTACTTTGTAATTAAGTCTAGATAGTGAAACTAGAAATGAAACCTAAAATGACAAATTTTTTGTTTGTTTGCTTTTTAAAAAGAAACTACTTAAATATGTAAAGTTTTCTGCCAGAGTCCTTTCCCACGGCGTGCCTGTCCTGGAACGGTGATTCTCAACTATCCTACCAGAATCACGGTGCACTGAGGCCTCTGGGCATCCCTTGGCAGCCTCAGTACACAGGTGTGTGGGAGGCCCAGTGTCTGCATTTCTAAAGATCATCCCAAGTGGTTCTGACGTGGCCATCAGGGCCATACTTGGAGAAGCGTGTTCAGGAACGGGAGACAGCCCGCATCCCGGGAACTCCTGAAGATGGGCCCGGTTTCTCCTTCAGACTCTTCAGAACAATGGCCAGGCTCGTGCCTTCAGTGTGACCAGCTCATGCATAATGCAAGTTTTCCTGAATTGCAGAAGTAATTAATTCATTCTAGGGATCCAGAAAGCTGGCCCTTGCAGTTCACATCTTATTTCTCACTTTCTGTTAGCCGTCGGGCTGCTCTGTGAAAGCGGGCAGGCGGGCCTCTTCCCGGCTGGTCCCGCCTCGTGGAGGCCTTGTGTGCGGTGACCAGCAGCGGTGGTCTATGCAGTGCGATCTGGAGGAGCTGTGCAGGGCCCAGCAGACTGTGTGTCAGGAGTGAGTGTGGGGCCAGGGAAACCAGAGCGAGATTTCCCTTCCATTCTGCTAAATGCTGTGACTCTGTGTCTCTGTCTTTTGCAGAAGTGTGAGTACCGATGGATGTGGCCGAGAGCCCTGAACGGGACCCTCGCTCTCCGGAGGACGAAGAAGAGGAGCAGCAGGGGCTCTCGGACGATGACATTTTGAGGGAAAGTGGGTCTGACCAGGACTTGGACGGAGCTGGGGGGAAGGCTTCTGATTTGGAGGATGAGGACCACGGTGCCCCGGGACTGAGCCAGGAGGAAGAAGAGAGTCACTCTGACGAGGAGGACCAGGACTCTGAGGCTCAGGAGCTGAGCGGGGGCCTGGCCAGCCCCCCGCCTGTGGAGGAGGGGGACGGCGGGGAGGAAGACTGCACCAGTGACCTGAGGGACGAGGCCTCGTCGGTCACCAGGGAGCTGGACGAGCATGAGCTGGACTACGATGAGGAGGTCCCCGAGGAGCCGGCCCCCGCCCTGCAGGAGGACGACGGCGAGAAGGCCGGGCCCGAGGATGATGACGAGAGGGGGGACGGGGCCCCCGGGGAGGAGGGGAAGGCAGGTGCCCCTGGTGTGGAGGACAGGGAGCCCCTGGAGGCTGCCAAGGAGAGGAAGAAAGAGGATGACGACGGGGAGATCGATGACGGGGAGATCGACGTGAGTGTGGGGACAGGGGCAGGGAGGAGCGCGCTGGAGGGCTGTGGGGCAGGGGAGGGCTGTCCTGGGAGCACTTGCCGTGGGGGTCAGGCAGTGCTAAAAATCCAGGAGAAATAGGCTGGATTGAGAAACTGCCAGTCGGTAGCTGGCGGGAGTTCCACAGGCCCTCCTCGCTCATCCGTCTGGTCGTATTAAAATTCTGGAGTTTTTTAACAGGCAGTAGTTTTCACCCTTTGTCTTCACTGTCTCAGAGTAGTACTTGAGTTAGCAGTCAACTAGAACCTCTGTGGGTTTCAGTTCTTGTTATTTTCTTGAGGCTGAAAAACTCCTTCCTTCCAGTTTCGTCTGTTCTTTTATTCATTTTTTTCTTTGCCCCATGGCCTCTTGTCTGATGCGGGCCCCAGCTTCTATGGAAGTATCCCTAAAAAGGCCCTCACTGGATAAAATGGGGTTGCGCATCAGAACACCTTGGGTTTTGACCAAGCTGTCACATCCTTAGAACTTACTTACATTCACCTGGCCTTCAGGGTAAGGAGAAGGTAACTGGTAATGATCATCTTAGATGTGGGTTGTTTGGGTTTTTATGACAGATGATCCTGTTGAAAGAACTTTAATCACCATCGTTTAAGAGGTTGAGTTTGGGGGGCAGAGCCTGAAGCCCTACTGAGTAAAGCTTGTACTCAAAGGAGGGGAGAGGGAGGCAGAGCAGAGGGAAAGGATCTGGAGTGTTAAGCATCCTGGGGGGCGATCCTGGTTGAGAGTCATTGTGGAGAGAGGTGGGCCTGAGGAGTACCCCTCAGGAGGGCCCTGTGTTAAGGAGGGAGAGGTTGCTGTCCAGGCGCGCAGCTGCAGCTTCACGGGCAGCTCTGTCCTGGAAGGTGAGGCAGTGCCGCACAGCCACGCGTGTGCCTGGTCTTAAAAGACGTGCTTGTCGGTTCACAGGGACAGAATTTGTGGGGCATGCGTGTGTAGTTAAAGCTTAGGGGTTTAGATACTCTCATAACTTAAGTTTAGGAGGTGGTCTCACGTATTAATAGCCTTTGCTTAATATTATCTTATTGAAAGTGGTATTGTCGAGACCTGATCATGCAACTGTCCTCAGGTTTTGCCAGCTCCAGCTCCTTTCCAAGCTCCCTTTAGAAAGTTAACCCTGGCAGCAGGGTTGCCAGAGGGAAAGAGATGCCGAGAGACTCCAGTGAATCAGTTTGGGTGGAATTTGGGAGTGGAAGGTGAAGTCACTGGTTGAGGTCACCTGTGAGTTTGATTTTTCAGTTTACGGAGAGAAAAGCCACTAGGAAGGTGAGGGGTCCCGGCAGCGGGGGGCGCCGTGGCCGGCGGTTCTGGGCGCCGTGTGTCCCGTTAGGAAGGCCCAGCTGCAGATGCTGCTTGCTTCCGCTGCTGAACGCATGGTAGCAGACTTCGCCTCCTCTGCTGCCAGTGTTCAGTCGCAGGGACCTGAGCCTCGCTGCGCCGTGGCGTTCCTGCCGCGTCCAGCTTTGTTGGTCTCCCCCGGGGCAGCATTGGAGCCCCCTTGCCCACCGACCCCGCCTGGTTGGCCAGTCGAACGGACTTGTGCCTGCCTGGCACCTCCAGTGAGGCCCCCACAGCCCAACTGGAACAGCTCCACTCAGCTCTGCGGGCCCCGCGGTGTGCCAGGCTCACTGTGACGCACTGGGGGTGTAACTGTCCCCCATCCTTGGGGACCGGTGGGCCTGCACGGGGCTGGGCACTGTGAATGGAGACTTTGGCCTTCGCAGGAGCGCACCTGCCTTCCAGGAGCTCCTCTGGGTTATTTTTGCTCTTGCCCGTGCCTGTGACTGCGGGCTCCTCCACACCCTGTAATTACTGGCCTCAGTGTCACCTCCTTTCTGTAGGCCTCCTGCCTACCGCCCCTGGCTCTCCTGTTAGATCTGCCTGGGCACCGTTGTGGTGCTTCCACACACAGTCTGAAGTAACCAGGCCATTAGTGCGTGTGTCTCTGCTGCTTCCCCGCACCTGCTCCTCCAAGAACACGAGTTCCCGAGTCCGGCCCCTGTGTGGCTGGCTCCCTCCATCCCTAGCACCTGGCACCTTGGAGGCAGTGCTCTGGGGCATGCCAAGTTGAGTGCCATCGAGATGAGGCATGGTGGTGGGCGGGACGTCTGCACTGGAGAGCCTTCCGAACAGAGGGCAGTCTGGCACTGCGCGTGGGTGACCAGCACCAGCCTGAGCCTGCGTTGGCAGAGCCCGGCGTAGACACGCGTCAGCTGGCGTCTGAATCACTGCTGCTGGGCCGTCTTCCTGCTCTCTCTGTCCCGGTTCTGGCCCTTCCTTCCCTGTCAGGATCCCGTGTATCCACAAGCATACACTTGTATCTTTCTTTCCCAAGATGGAGAGGGAACTAGAGGTGTGTGCTTGGGTCCATGAACAGCCTGCTTCCTTCCAGCAGGCTTTGGTCTAGTCCCCTTTAGTTCAAGTCCCTGCCAGGTAGCTTCTGGTCCTAGTGGGAAGTACCCATCCCAGAGGGCTTTTTCCCTGTCACCTTCCAGGTATCAGAGGTGAACTACCTGGATGTTTTTGTGAGGAGGAAATGTGTAGTTTAGTGTATACCTCGAAGATGTACATTCACGGAAGCCTCTGAGCTTCTCCGTGCCCAGCAGCCCCTCCTGCCTGTCTGCCCATTTCCTGCCCATAGCATCAGGCCCAGAATTGCTGGGAACAGCAAGCTGAGTGGAAGAGTCTAAAAGGCCCTGTGATTTATTCTCCTCTTAACTCAGAAGCACTTTTCCTTGTAGGTTAGGGTTAGATTGGGGGTCACTGGGACAGGTGAACTGGTTTGGGAGGGAGTCACCCCCACCCTCCTCAACTCTTCTAGTCTGCTGAGAGTTTCCGTGATAATGACATCAATTTGTACAATAAACCCTTGAAATTTTTTTGTCTAAACCACAGTTTATAACTCAGGCCTTGAGTTACCTTTATATGTTTTTTGTGTGCTGCCCTCAGAAGCAGATGCCTTTCTGGAAATGCTACTTCCTTGTGCGGTGGGGATGGGATTTTGCAAATAGGGTGGTGGGCCAGCTGTTAGCAGCACTGGCTTATTTGTGGAGGGGGCGTCGAGGGGACCTGAGGACCCTGACGCCTGAACCACGGTGAGCCCTGTCTAATCAGTAGTCGTGCCCATGCAGGATGCCACACTTAGGAGGACTAGAAACGTGTGGTTTTGTTTCTGCTCCCTGCGTGTCTCTCAGAAGAGCGCCGGAGCCACCACCGTGGCCTTGCGCTGCGCGCGGTCTTCCTCTCTTAGACCAGCGCCTCCGGTTCGTCTCGCCAGAACTACTGCTTCCTTCGGAGGCTGCTGAGTAGATCGAATGTTCTTCAAGGGTCTTTGATTTGCCTTTACAGACGCCAGCCCCACTGTCTGGTCTCCCCATCCTCTCCTTTGCTCAATTCCTTGGTTTCTGTTTTTATATCTTACTTGTCATCTGGTGAACAGAACTTCAGCCCCCGAGAGTATGCCATCCCCCAGGAGAGGGTGGAGTACGTTTTGTTCCCTTCCTTTCATCGGTGACTCTCACACTGTATGCTGGCCTCTCAGAGATGGCAGGACAGTGGCCTGGTCAGAAGTGATAGCTCTGGGTCCACCCACATAAAAGTGCTTTGAAGCATTTTCCTTGCAGTGGTACTTTGTGTTTTGTCCTGTTCAGAAGCACCTGCTCTTTCTGTGTCTGGATACATAGTATCTTCTGCCAAAGGGCTTCCCGCACCACTCAGGCTTCCTGGGGACACGTCACTGCACTCACTCCGCTGGATGCCACTCAGATGCTTCCCAGCATCTGTCCCCTTGAGGAAGCCAAGGAAGCCACTGCCTGCGCCTCCATCAAGGAAGGAGGCCGTGCAGCGCAGCCCCTGAGGGACTAAGTGGTGCCAAGCTGTTGGCTTCGTCCCCCGCAGGACGGGGACAGCTGCTCCAGACCCCTTTCTAAAGCCGGAACACGTCTGAATTACCAAACCACGTCTGGCTCCAGGGGTTTTGAGTGAGGGATTACAGCCTGTATTATTACCCCATTTTGCAGGTGCAGAATCTGGGGTTCAAGGGGATTCTGGTGGGACCTGGTGGTTGTGCCAGGGTGAGCTCTCTCTGCTCCTGTGTACACGGGGCCCTGCGCCCAAGCTCCACGTGTGGTGGGCTTCAGCCTGGCACAACCCATTGGGTAGACCAAGGCTTGGGGTCGGGGCATCTGCAGTCACACAGGCAGGATTCAAACTCAGGCCTCCCCACTGCGTGTCTGCTATAAATAAGGACCTTCAAGGTGAACATGCTGGTTCGTGCCCACCCCAGCGGCACGCTGCCAGTGGGCTGGAGTTCCTCCCAGGCTTGCACACTGTGGCAGGCCTGGCGCTCTCCCCCCAGGCTAGTCGTCAGTGTCCTTGTCGCCTGGCCTTCTGTAGACCCACAGGCCTACTTCTGACTGGACCGCTAGGGCCCCTGCTCTCGATCACATCGTCAAGGGTCGCCAGGTCAGAATTCCTACCCATTAATCACACATCTGACCTGATGGAACAGCTAAGTGCTGGCAGTCTGGCTTCAGAGATCCCTTTCTTGAGTTATGTTTGCAAGAAACTCTCTAAGATTCCGGTACTCCTTTTATTTGTCATCACCTGAAACGCCATCGTGCTAAACACACAGTTAGTTGGCAGGTGAGGACCTTCTACTGCTGGGTGATTTATTGCTTGTTTTGTCTGTTAGGCCTTGGAGTATCCCAGGGCACCCTCGGCAGCCCCGGTGACCGCTCCCCAGCTCTCTGCTCTTGTGAACATGGAGAGTAACATCCCTGCAGAAACAGCTCTTCACCCCAATCTGGTGCCCTGCCTGTGCATCCTGACTGCTGACACACAGTCACTCTGTTCCTCATCCCAGGCTAGAATGTGGCCAGGCTGGACTTGAGAAGGTCACGGCAATGTGGAGAGCTCAGAAGTGTGGACCCCTGTCAGGGAGTGTCCCCAGGCCAGCTGGGACAGAGCGATAGTTCAGACGAGGCGGTGCTGAGGAAGATGGGGGAGTGGGGTCCGCCCTGCTTGAGATCCCTTTCATCGACTGTACTAGGGTACCTTGGACAGGATGAGAAGGGGCAGTGAGGGGCCCCATCCTGGACATACTGACAGATTTCAGTCAGGTGGCTGGATGCTTGTCTGCTAGGGGCGATCCCAGGGGTGCAGGGTCTCAACTCTGGGGTGCAGATGGCCCTGGGGCAGTGGGGGCTAGGGGTGGGTTGTGCAGAGCATTTGTCTAAGCTCTCTGCTGCTCTTTGGAATCCCTGGGGAGAGACCCACTCAAGCTTTGGTCTTTAAAGTCTCCTGCGTCACTCTAGAGCCAGGGTTAGGAACTCTGGACCAAGAACAAGAAGAGAAGGGCCCAGGTCTGAGCTAATGGTGGGCCCACTCACTGGCCTGAGCCACCTAACTTTCCTCCTCCCTGCCCCTAGACTTTTAAATTAGAGGGAGGCATCTAATTTAAAGGACATACAATATTTTGTTTTACTGTACAAAATATTGAAAACCTGAAGGGTAACCATGTCCTGCTCAGAACTGCTAACAGAACTTGTAGGAGTATCCTTTGGTGTGGTGCCTCAGTCTTGGAGGTGAGCTCTGAGACATCCCCGTTGTGTGGATGAGGTTTGGGAAATGCACGTGAACTGGTGAGTGGCCAGGACCCGGACCTCGGGAACGCACCCTTTCTGGTTTGGTGAAAGCACGCTGGTTGGTAGATGCCCCTCCCGCCTCTTCCCTTTGTTAAGACAAGTCTCTCTTCAAGTCACATTGTCCTCTGTTTCAGGATGATGACCTGGAAGAGGGTGAAGTGAAGGACCCCAGTGACAGGAAGGTGAGGCCTCGTCCCACCTGCCGATTCTTCATGAAAGGTAATTGTCTGGGTGAGAGCCTTGGCATGGCCCGTCCACGTGGCCTGGCTTCTCCCAGGACGGGTGCTGGTTCAGTCTGGTCGGGCGCCCTGGGGCCTGCTCAGGGCTGTCCTCGGGGCCTATGGTGGTGGCGGCGGCAGCAGCGGCACGTTGATGTCAGACAGTGGACCCTTTCATAGGCTGCTTTCAGGACTCCGGAGCCGGGCCAGCCCACCTATCTCTTGCTAAGGCTCCTGGCCCTGCTGCTCAGCGCAGACCTCCTCTTTACTGTAGGCAATGTCAGCTCTTTCTAAACGGTCCTTTTTAGAAGGCCACATGCCCCAAGCTGCCAGTTTTGACATTTTCCCACCTCTGTGAGGACAATTCCCTCTTTCCTGCAAGATGTCTCAGAAGCATATCTTTCATCTGGCGTGGATCTCGAAATAGCTGAGGCATGGCCTTTGAAAGCCAGCCATCCGTCCTGAAAAGTGGACAGAGTGAGTCAAGTAGTTGTGACAGGTGGCACTGTGACAAGGGCTGGTGAGCAGTGGGCATTAAAGTCCTGGAGACTTGGCGTGGAGACGGCAGCCTGTGTGTCAGGGCCGCTCTGGGCGCAGCGCTGGTGGGCACGTCGCCGTAGCTCCTCCTCACACGCTGGCAGAAGGCGTTTGCTCTTGCCCGTGGTTCGCCCTGACCCTAGACGACCTACCCGCTGAGCCGGCTCCCCACGCGGCCTAACGTTCACCACAGCTTCCTGTACTTCTTTTCCAGACGTTGTGACACCATTGTCCACTGCTCCACCAATACCAAATTCCATACCATTCAGAGGCCAGGTTAAAGGTACAAAATATACGATGTTCCCTCTCTTTAGTACCTCAAAGCCCCTCTGCTCCAGAGGCCAGACTTCTTTCTTCTGGATCCAGAGTCCTGCTGTGAAGCCGGAAGGAAGGGGGAGGCTTTGAGGGACAGAGAGTGGTCATGCCAAGGCTCACCGGAGCGCGGCTGCCTGCCCGGGGAGGGCGGGGACGTTGGGCGCTGGAGCCCCATCCTGTGGGTGGCCCTGGAATGAGCCTGTCCTGAGTGCCAAGATGGCCTGGTGGTGAGGATGCCTGGGAGCTGGGGGCCCTGGGCAGCTCATCCTTGGGGCATGTCCTCTTGGCTGTGCTATTTCCATGCTGCTGCTTTCTGCCACTGGGGACAGTCTGGCTCATCTGAGTCAGATGTCCACATGGTGGTTTCCCTATGTAGCCAGTGCCCTGTGCACGCGGGAAGGCCGCAGAGCCAGCCTGAGGACACGACGAGCGCACAGTACGTTCTAGAAAGAAAACTACTGCGGTTCCCTCCAGCAGCAAGAGAGTCACTTTAGGAATACAACGAAGTCTGTTGTGTTTGGTGAGGATGCGGAGAAGGCAGCCGCGCGCCTGCTGCTGGGAGCCAGCAGTGGTGCGGCTGCCTGGGGCCCGTCCCCTCAGCGTGCCGTGTGCAGCGGCCGCGGACCCAGCGGCCCCTGCCTGGTGGTCGGGAGAGGAGCGGAAGCCTAGGCCTCCCGGAGGCTGGGGCGCGAGTGTCCGCAGCAGCTGCGGAGTGGGCGCTATCCGGGCATCCCTTCGCTCGTGAGGGGAGAGACAGAGCACGATCCATGTGTGCGGTGGGAGGCCTGACCCCATGACGTGGAGGAGCCCTGGGGGGCTGTGCCCGTTGAAGGAAGCCCATCTCAAAGGCCCCTGTTGCACGTCCACGTCCGTGAGCGTCCAGGGCCGGCAGGGCCATGAGACAGAGCAGGTCGTCACTGTCTGCGCTGGAAGGGAAGGGGTAGCCGTTGAGTACGAGGTTTCCTTTTTGGGTGATGGAATGTTCTGGAATTAGAGGTGATGATTGCACAACTTTGTGAAAGTACTGAAACCCACTAATTGTGCACTTAAGTGGGGGTCTTTTAGGATAGATGAATTATATCTTAATTTGAAAATTTTGTTTTTAAAAAGTGTTTTAGCTATATTTCTATTACGTGTTATGATCTGCAGATTAACTGTTGCTTTGCCCGAATGGACACAGTGCTGTTCGTGGCCATTGACTACAAAGTACACTGGGGAGTACAAAGTGGAACATTTTAAAGCACCAGTGCTTTGTTTAGGACGTATTTTCACCTCTCATGTGTTCAGGTTGAGTCATCAAGACGTGAAGTTCTATCCAAAGAGGCACAAACAGCACTTTCTTAAAGGGGGTGCTACTTGGAGTCTCCGATCTTCCGGCTGTCGGCAGCGCACTGCCCGTTCTGTGGGCCGGCCTCCTGCGTCTGCTCCTTCCTAGTCTCCCTTTCCCTTTCCCCTAATTTTAAAATTGTGGTAAAATACACAATATAAAACTTACCATCCTGCCCATTTTAAAATGTCCGGTTCATTGGCGTTGAGCACCTTCATATTGTGGCTCCTGTCACCGCCCACCTGCACAACTCTCCATCCTGGAAAACTGCAGCTGTCTCCATTAGACGTGGACTCAGCACCCGCCCCCACCATCCTTGGCACCTGCCCTTCTGTTTTCTGTCTTTGTGTCTGACTTCTCTAGGTGCCTGCTGTAAGTGCAGTCTTGCAGGGTTTGTCCATTTGTGATCGGCTTCTTTCAGTCAGCATGGTGTCCTCAAGTTTCATCCTGCTGTAGCAGGTGTCAGGATTTCATTTTTAGACCGATAGTACTCCCCGTATGATGGGCCGCTTTCTGCTTACCCGTCACCCGCCGATGGACACAGGGCTTGCTCCTGCCTGTCAGCTGTCAGGAGTGATGCTCCTGCGAATGTGGGTGCACACGTGTCTGTTCAAGACTCTGCTTTCAAGTCTGCTGAGTACACACCCAAAAGTGGGGTTGCTGGGTCATGTGGTAGTTGTATTTTTAATGTTTTGAGGAACCCCCCACTGTTGTCCATGGTGGTGCACCATTTGCACCCCACCACCACACCCAGGCTTCAGGTTCTCCTCCTTGTCAACTCCTGGCGTTTTCTGGTTTTGTCATGGGAAGTGTCGTACTGGGTGTGAGGTGGTGTCGTTTCCCTGTGGTTAGTGGTGCTGAGCATCTTTCCATGTGCTTTTTGGCCATTTGTGTATCTTCTTGGGAGGGATGGTTTATTGCACATTTTTTAACCCCTGCATTCTCTTTTGTGCTCAGTGCAGCAGATCTCAAAGTGTGCTCTGTGGACCCCTTGAGACTCAGGGCCCCTGCGGTCAGAGGTCTCGTTAGACTCAGACCACACTGGTGGCAGAACTCGTTTGGCAGTATCTGTGGTAGAGCAGGAAGAATCACAGGTAGACTTTACCTTGGAGTACAGGTCTTCTTTTAAATAACTTTTTGAGGTCTCATTTACATGCCATAAAATTCACTCGTTTTAAGTGTACGATTCGATGATTTTTATTAATTCACCAAGTTGTGCTTCCATCACTTCAACCCAGCTTTAGAATATTTCCGTCACCTCAGCCAGACCCCTCACCACGTCTTTTGATATTCCATGTGATGAAACTACAAGTGTGCATGGAGCCCCTCTGCTCTCACTGAGGTGCTGGGGCGTCTCATGGGAGCCAGGACGCGCCTCGGGGCCAGGTCCCTCCAGGACACGCCCAGGAGACCAGCTGACAGTCTGTGCTGGTGAAGTTCAGGCTCTCAAGTGAAATCAGAATTTTGGAGACTGTGACAGCTTCGCAGAGTTTGAGGACTTTTCCAAATGACTGTTACATGGTGTTACAAAATCATTCCTGGGGAGAAGGCCATTCCCAGGCCACGAGGGACCAGTGGACTTCAGTAGAAGAGGCGGAGAAGTTCAGTGGTAGGGCTGCGGCTGACCATGACGAAGCCTCAGACAACACGCCGGCTGCTGAAAAGGCCGTCCGCCCCACCCTATCCAGCTGTGCCTCTGGGTGAGGCTGGCTTCTCCTCGCCTGCTTCACCACACAGCCCATCACAGCAAATGGAGCACAGATGCCAGCTTGAGGGTCCTATTCTCACGTCAAAACTAAAGAGACGTGCAAAAAGGAAGATAATGCCGCTCATCCCTGAGTGTTTTTAAAGTATCTTTTCCTAAAACACTTATGTTAACAAGTATTGTTAACGTTAGTTACATATGTTATATTTCATGCCCTTAAATGTTCTCAGTTTTAATTTTCACAGTAAGTATCAAATATAATCGTTACAAAGGCTCTTTGGGGTCCTGAGACCAAAAAGTTATGAGAACTGCTGGTTTCAAGTCTTTGTAAAAGAAGCAGCCCAGAAACTGTTTTCATTATTTCGGCTGCCACAGTGAACACATTCCTTGAAGAAGTTGAACTGCGTCAGGATCCTGCTGGAGATGCCCGCAGTGCCTGCCCGTTGGCCGCAGTTCTCTGTGAAAGGGGAAAGTGCTTGAGCTCCTTTGCTCTGTCACTCGAGGTTCACTTGTCGTGGTTCGTTGGATTTTATGCCTGTTAGAGTGAGCATTTGTAGATCTTGGGTTGGTCCTTCATTATTTATTAGATTTGTATATATTCTACTTTCCTTGTAGGAAGTATTTTAAAAAAAATTTTGGTGGGGGGATTAGGTTTACTTATTTTTTTTTAGAGGAGGTACTGGGGACTGAACCCAGGACCTTGTGTTTGCCAAGCACGCTCTCTACCACTTGAGTTATACCCTCCCCAGGAAGTACTTTTTAAAACCATGAAGCACTTTAAACTTTATTTTGACAGTCCCTGTATCTGTTACTCTGAGTGATTCAGACTAACAGGAAACAGGACCAAGGAGTATTTAAATAAGGAGGGCTTTGTTTAAAACGTTAGTGTGAAGCAAGTGTTTTGCACGGAAAGCAGATATTGTAAAGTTATCTCAGCTGCTGTAGGATGCACTGGGAGTGCAGCGATGTGCAGCGTGTAAGTGCCTTCAGGCCGGCAGTCAGACCCGCAGGCTCTGGGCGTGTGTCTGGAGCCACCGCGCACCCACGCTCACACGTGTGCCCGCAGACACGGGCACTTTCTCTTGTCCTGACGCTTCACTCGGTGAGCGAGGTGGGCTCCTGGGGCTGCAGTGTGGGGTGTGCTTTCCTTTCCTCTCGCCTCTGTGTTGGGTTCCTTAGTTTCTGCTGAGAGACCCAGGTGAGCTTTCTTTGGACTGTGTGTGTCTCACTGATGGACTTTGGGTTTGTTGCCTTTGAGCACGCAGGTTCCTTTTTTGTAGGAATATTGTTTAGTGAAAAAAAGCAAGGCTCATCAGAGTGTGTGGTGTAAGCAGGAAGAAGTGGGTCGGGGCCCTGATGGGCAGGTAGACGGGTCAACCCCTGGCAGGGCGACACTGCGGCTGGTGGGCACTGCAGACGGGAGGCCACCGAGTGCCTCTTAGAGTATTGGGGTACTTTTGTTCATGTGTGCTCCTTTTATTAGTTTTATTATGAAATATTTCACATGTAAAATAATACAGCCACACAGACATAAAGAATAATAAAAGAAGCGATTTCTGATGTGCCCCCCACTTCCGTTAAGAAACAGAACCTAATCAGTGCCTTTGAAGCCCCATGTGCATGCGGGGAAGAGGCTTGGCCCCCCACCCGCCAGGCAAGCCGCGCCTCCTCTCCTGCCCTCCCGCCAGGCTCGCATCCGCCCCGTGTAGCGTCCTTACAGAATTGTAAGTCTGTTTATTTGTCTAGCCTCGATCACAGTCCACATCAGTTTTGTGTTTGTGAAGTTTCATTTAGAAGCAGAAGACGATGCAGTTTTAAAACGAGTTAATGTATTTTTGCTTCCATTTCCTGGAGAATTTTTTCCCCAAACAGATGCTTTTTTGAATCACGAAAGTAGCATGTACTGACAGAATCGAGGTGGTAACCGTTTGGGTGTGTCCTTCCAGACTTTTTTCTACACAGTTAAAAATTCATTTTTTAAAAGGCTGACGGGATTGTACTGTTCTTGCTGCTCTTTTTGCCTGCATTTGTGGGACGCCTGTCCTCGTGTGTACAGCCGGCCACACTCCTTCCTGGAGCAGTCTTCCCCCCTAGTGGGAGGTCAGGGTCAGGACAAATGCGCAGGTGGTCCTTAGCACAGCCTGGGGCAGGGGCCTCCCTCCCTCCTCACTCACCCTCGCACCCACCCGCTCCGCCTCCTCCCCTGCCCGGCCAGCGGGTGGTGAGAGTTCTTCCTCATCGGTGGGCTCACAGCTGAGGTTTTTGTTTTGTTTTGGAAGTTTTAAATACAAAAAGAACAGAATAGCATTCATTTGTCCACCACCTACATATATATTTTAGATTTTAAAATTATAGAAAAGCTGTGGTTTATATTGTTAATACTTTACTGAACCTGCGAGTTTTGTACAATGAGCTTTTGGTATTTTTTTCAACTAGTTTGTTTAAGAGTCAAGTGGTGAAGTAGCCCATAGTGTTTTGGAATTTGTTATTGAGATGTATTGACTGCACAGTCTTTTTTCTTTAAAACCTCTGGGTCTCCGGGATTTTGAACCCCCTATATTTCCCAGCCCAGTATATTTCCCAGTATATTTCCCAGCCTCTGACAGATATGTGACCTCTCAGACACTTTTAGTAATTTTAAAAGTTGATCAGTCATTTTTGCATTCCCAGAGAAGTAATTTTAAGCATACTTTATTTCATATTTAATTCAGAGCAGTATATTATTAAGTTGTTTTTTTTAATTTGTTTTGTTTTGGGGGGTTTAGGGGGCGGTAATTAGGTTTATTTATTTTTAGAGGAGGTACTGGGAATTGAACCCAGGACCTCATGCATGCTAAGCATGCACTCTACCATGGAGCTATAGCCTCCCCCTTAAGTTGGTTTTAATACAAATTTAAACACTCGTAATGTTTAAAAGGTAAGATACAGCGTTTTCCCTAAATACCAAATGATTATTTCTCTTTAATTTACACTATACAAACAAATATTCAAGTGGAGTATCATGTTTAAAAGTGAATATATATTAAAAGGTAATTTAAAATTTAACTACATGCTAACCCAATGAAAAAAAAATTGGGGTGTGTGTGTGGTAATTAGGTTTATTTATTTTTTAGAGGAGGTACCAGGGATTGAACCCAGAACCTCATGCACTCCACCACTGAGCTATACCCACCCTCCGAAAATATTTTTTAAAACTACTTAGATATTGTATGCCGTATTTATTTTTGAACTTGTGTACATATTACCTATTCAAAAAGTTAAATTTTAAAAACAGTGATTCACTCACATACTAAATTAAAACTAGGCATCCTGCCTTCTGTGCTAAAAAGTCAAGTGGGTTTTTTTTTAATAATCTTGGTGTTCTGTTGCTGAATAATGCTAAAAGTTGACCTTTTTATCATTTGTTGTAAAGTGTAAACACCCAGTTTATTATAGTCGTCCATGTGTTTTCTCTCTGGCACATTTTTTGAAGTATTAGAAACACCCTGGCGTGGTTGATAGGGGAAGCGCAGACACTCAGAGCTGGCACAGACCGCTGGCCTCAGGTCCCAGAGCTTGTCGGTTTCTGTGTCAGCACGAGTGTCTTCTGAGCCAGAACAACGACCCCGTGGGCGCACCTGCAAGCCTCGCCGGGCCATTTGTGTGCTGGGCAGTGCCCAGAGCTCAGGCCGCCCTGGCTGGCTGGGAGGCTCTCAGATTCTGCTGTTTTTCTGGAGAATGAACTGTGCACATGGTGACTACGGAGCAGGGACCCGGCCCCTTTAGGAGGTGCTCCTTGCAGGTCGGCCCAGACCTCGCAGGCCTGCTGCCCTGCGCTCATGGGACGTTGCCGGTCTTTGGGTCCGTCCCCACTCAGGCTCACGCACCTTGTAGGGTGGAGAGGGTTCCACCAGCAGCCTGGCACATCCCGAGCCCCCCGCGTGGCTGCTACTCCTGCTCCTGCCCCACAGGCTGCGGCAGGCAGAGCAGGTGGGCAGCTGACCTGTGTGCTGGAGTGCTTGGGCCGTGGCCCCTTCTGACCTGCCTTTTGTTTCCGTAGGGAACTGCACCTGGGGGATGAACTGCAGGTTTATCCACCCCGGAGTCAACGACAAGGGCAACTACTCCCTCATCACCAAGGCGGAGCCCTTCCCGCCCAACGGCGCCCCGCCCCTCGGACCGCACCCTCTGATGCCTGCCAGCCCTTGGGTGCGTGAACGCCTCTTTCGTTGCTGGCAGATCACATCTAAGCTCTGTTTGTGAATCTCCAACATGAAGCACATTCATACGCCTTGTGTCTCAGGGACCTCTGTGGCGCCAGGGCCCCAGAGCCACCCCCTCCCCCGGTGCTCGGGTTGTCTCCAGCAGAGGGCGCCCTGGCCCCGGGGCAGCCGAGTCGGGCAGAGCAAGGCCCGGAGGAGACAGCGGGCAGTGTGGCCGCTGTCGTGTTAGCTGGTGTTCTGCTCCTCTGGTTCTTCAGAGGTCTGGAAGTTTGCTTGATCCCTTAACTCCTCCCTTCTCGTCCCTTAACAGGGTGGGCCGGGAGTCGATGAAGTTTTGCCTCCACCCCCTCCAGAGCCCCCCACCGAGAGCGCCTGGGAGCGAGGACTCCGGCACGCAAAGGAGGTAACAGAGCCTGCGCAGACAGGCAGTAGTGGCGGCCCGTGTGCGAAAGAAGCCTGCCTTTGACCTGGGACGGCAGTCAGAGCTCAGTGAGGCCTCTGGAGTGAGGGCGTGTTTCTGTCACTTCTCTGAAGAAGTAGAGAGCGGAAAACGACATCTGCCTGTCTCAGAGGCTTGCTGGGCCATGACAGAGCCTCATAGGCTGGGGAGGCCCAGTCAGGAGCCCGGCCTGCTGCCTGCATGTGGCTCAGCCAGCACTGGGCCGCTCCCTAGAGAGCACACAGTGTTCCCCAGAGTGGCCCGTGCATCTGGCACGCGGTCCTGTCTCCCTAGAGAACACCCCTCGTCCCACCCCCAGTCCAGGCTGCTTCCCGGTCCTGGGGGTCCAGGCTCACGGCCTCCAGGCCTGCTCTCTCCACCAGGATGACGGGCTAGGGCAGAGCCCCGCCCGCCCCCGGCCCTGCTTTCCTCTGAGGCTGGCTGGCTCAGGGCCTCTCTTGCGGGACGCGCTCACCGACCTCTCCGCTCTGTCCTCCCAGGGCACGTGTCTGGAGCCCCTGCTCCGGCACCCGGACTAGTAGTAGGGAGCCCCCGCTCCGCCCCTCTGCCCGAGCGCTGCTGCAGCTGTGCCTGCGAGGACGGCGTGCTCCCGTCCCCCCGAGAGGCGCGTGGGTCCCGTGTCCGTCCCCGGCACAGAGCTTGGGCTCGCATCAGCCACGCGTGCTCTCCTGCAAGGCCCTCCAGCCACGCCAGCCCAGGCTTCATGGGTCAAGTCAGGACAGGACTCCCTCTGTGTTCCTAACAGTAACTCGTGTTGGCTTCTTTCTTCTTACAATGGTAGGTTTTAAAAAAAGCAACCATTCGAAAAGAACAGGAACCTGATTTTGAAGAGAAAAGATTTACAGTGACCATTGGCGAAGATGAACGGGAGTTTGACAAAGAAAATGAAGTTTTCCGAGACTGGAATTACCGCATCACGAGAGATGTCAGAGATACAGCGTAAGGAACACTTCGGCCCCCCTCCCCGTTGACAGAGAACGCAGCTGTCCCCTGCTGTGTGGGCTCGGGCTCTGAGAGCAGCAGCACGTGGCCCCTAGCGTGTAGGGGCCGAGCCCTGTCCCTCTCCCTGCACTGAGAGCGGCATCCCGACCCATCTCAGACACTGTGCAGTTGACTTTCCTCCTCGTCTTGCTTCCGTGGAGGACATGTGCCTGGGGTGGGCTTCCACCCATTTGGGTTCCTATCATATCTGAGAGTCTTTACAGCTGTTCTTTAACAGCTGGAGCCCCGTAACACAAGGCTCCTCCCCACCCTTCCCCAAGCTCCCCAGGACCCAGGAAAGTTTGTCACTGACATCTGGGAGTGTGACAGGTGTGACCCTCCTCATCGTCAATGCCGTCTTCCTCATTTCTTCCAGACATTTTATTGCTGGTCTTTTTAAAACACGGTTGCAGAAGTTGATGTGGTTGGAGACCTGGGTCAGATCTCGAGGAAATGTGTAGTGTAACCAGTCCAGCTGCCGGGAAGGGGCATTACAGGCCACGTCTCTCCTGAGCGGCCAGTGTGGTGTGGGCTCTGGTCACCGGCCAGTTTCAGCATCGTCTTAAGTCTTGCAGTGACTCTGTGCACTTGGGTTTGCTACCAGAAAACAAAAACCACTGATTTCTGGCTGAAATGACAGTAAAAGGCTCAGGAAGAGGGACACATACATGCCTGTGTTTCCAGATTCAGTTGTGCTGACCCAGACCCCCAAGGTTGTTTCAAGGCCTTGCATTCCAGGCCACACCCCGCCAGGCGCTCTGCGGGCAGGAAGCTCGGGAGGGCCACACCTGTCGTGGCTCAGGTGGAAGGATTAGAGGTCAAGGACGTGAGAGCTGAACTCGGATGTTTTCTAATTCTGCATGTGCAGTAGTGCGGCTGCAGTTAGGGCTGCACCTGCCGGTCACTGTGGGCATTTCGCTTGACTTGAGTCTTGAGGTCTCAGCTTTTTCTCGTGTAAAACTTGAGTGACGGTGCTGCCCCCCCGGGGGGGGTGTCAGTACGCGTCCTGGGAGCCAGCACATCGGGATGCGGTCTGGGACCTCACTCTCTGACTGTACGGTTACTGTGAGTGGTGAAGGGAGGGGCCTTGGAACCTCAAGTTCCATCCTTGACACTGTTCTCAGCCTGGCTGGAGTGGGGGCCTTGAGATTGTGCCTGACGGAACTGTCTGCAGCCCAGGTCCACGGCCATCCAGGCGCCGCGCTCCAGCCCCGGCCCGTGTTCACCCACAGCCTCTCCGCCAGGCAGGGTCCTCCGAGGACCAGACCACCTTAGAGCCAGGTTTTCACTTGTGTTTGGTTGTCTGTTCAGCATCTGCTGTGTGTTTTGTGATAGGACACGCCTAGCCTGGCAAGTCCAGACCTCTGGGAACAGGACCTGGCATGTGCCTGGCGGGAAAGCTGTTCTGACGACCCTCAGGGCAAGGGCTGTGTCAGTCAGGGTCCACTCAGCAGAGACCGCCCGGCTCTTTTAACAGGGAGTGTTTAACCTAAAGACGTGCTTTCTAGGTGACTGCGGGGGCAGAGAGGCCGCTGCCCCCCAGGGTGAGGGGAGGAAGGCGGTTGGAACCGTCCCTGCGGGAGCTGGGAGAAGGGCTGCGGCTTGGGCGGCGCAGGAGGGGTGCTGGCACCTCCCAAGAAGGCGATGAGGCTGGGCTTGCAGGGCTGGCAGGGAGGCGCCACGGGGAGACCCCCAGCCTCCCCAGCCCTGCAGTGCTGCTCGGGCTGGCCTCACAGGGACAGCCGGTGGCAGCACGCGCTCTGCAGGGTGTGTGGGAAGGTGGCCAAGGACGCCGGGGCTCCAGGGCCATCAGCGTAAGTCTCAGAAGGACCAAGCCTCAGCAGCTCTCGCTTCCTGGGGCCCCGCGCATGGCCTGTTTTGTGCCCAGGCGTCCTTACCCAGTTCAGGCCCTTCTGCACAGGGGAGGGGCCGCAGTTCTCCAGGTGTGGCCCGTGGGGGCTCGTGAGACACACCCGGCCTGAAGGTCCTGGAGTGGAGGCCAGCTGCTGCTTTTAACAAGCCCTTGGGAGACTCAGGTGCTGCCCACAAAGTTTGAGAGCCACTGATGTCGCTTGCGGGGCCGTCGCTTCTCCCACTGCCCTCTTGCCTGACGTTGAGTTCTGAGGGTGGGAGCTCTGAGTGTTGTTGTGGAAGGCCTTGGTGCGGTGGTGCTGGCACCTCGCAGCTGCGCAGGCCGGGGGGAGCCGTGGGAAAGGGCACTGGTTCGGGAACTCTGCAGGGGGTGTCCTGAGATACTGTGAAGGCTGGGGAAATGGGGCTTGGGCGAATTAAACAGAATTCCTGACAAGGTCACTTAGTGAAAATAATGCTTTTATAGCCAGACACTGCCTGGTTCCCCTTTTCCACCACCTCAGGCGCTTATTTCAGACTTGTCGATCTTGTAAGGCCTCTGCGAGGTGCTTCTGGGTGCTGCCAGGGGTCTCCACCTAGGAGACGAGCGTCCTGGGACACTTGGGGTGTCCCCTGCGAGGAGTCTGTCATTGGCGGTGGCCCTGTCAGGAGCAGCACTTGTCAGTAAATGGGCCGGACTGCGGCCGCGTGCCCGGGGCTAACTGTGTGTGGACGTGCCCTTCCCGTCTGTCCTCTGAGGAGTGGCTTGCTGCCCGCCTGCCTTTCACGGCAGCGGTTCTCACCTGCTCCCGAGACCCTGGCCCACGGGCTGCCAGGAAGCCAGGCTCGGTTCTGGGGCAGTGGCGGGGGAAATGCTTCAGCCCATCCCCGTTAGCTGTCTCCCGAGATGGAGATACACCCAGAGAGAGAGGCCTTTCACCCCCACGCCCCTCCTTGAGAGAGCACATGGCTCACCGCCACTGGGGAGAGTGCTTTCTGGGTGCTCTGGGCGGTGAGTGGTACTGGTTCTGCTCTCAAGGGCACGGGGGACATCTGCCCAGGGATCGTGTTCCCTCTGAGTGCCGTCTGCGGGGCGTGCAGGCCGTTGGGCATGAAGGGCTGTGTCCCTGGGCAGAGCCCGCGCTGGGCTCGCCACTGGGCCCTGGCAGCACAGGAGAGGTTTCCCAGGAAGCAGCCAGCTAAGGCCACGCGCACCATGGCACACGGAGGGCACCTCTGCTTTCCCCACCCGTTCACCTGGCGTGGGGTTGGTCTGGAGCCAGAATGCTCGAAAGAACCTCCAGTCGTCTGTTGCAGGGAGTGCACTTCCCTGTCCTCCGCTGCTGGGCTCAGAGCTCCCCCGTGCAGGCCGTCTGGGTGGGTGTGCCAGCTTCTGGCCCTGCGGGAAGATGCACCCTCGGCCCTCCTCAGGGCTGCCCAGCGGTCCTGCCCCAGACTCCCTGCTGGCCGCCCCCCTGTGCCCACCAGCCTCCCCTGACGTCATGACACCTCGGAAGGTGTCTCTCCCAGCGTTTCCTTGGCTGGCCTTGCATGTCTTGGGTTTCATGTGAGGATCGGTTGTCTTAGCTGCATGAAGACAGTGTTTTACTGGCTGCCCTAAGTCTGTGAACTAGCACAGGGAGAGCTGGCTTTGGTGACTTCCAGTCGTCCTGTCCGAAGACACCGTCTTGTGTATTCACACGTGCTCTCGTGTCTTTCAAGAGTGTTAAATTTTCCTCAAATAGGTTCTACACATTTCTGGTTGAATGTATTTTGCTGAGTATTTTTTTCTCTCTACTGGAAGTGAGGTTTTCTCTACCATCCATCTCCTAACCGGTTATCGTCTGTGTGTACGAGGGTGTTGGTTGCTGTGTGTTCATTTTTCTCTTTCTGCCGTACTGGGCTCTTCTCACCATTTGACTCGCTTTACCGCGGTGTCTCGGTTTTCCATGTGTAGCATCATTTAACCTGCAAAATGAGACAATCTCGCGGGTTCCTCTGTCTGGTCACGGCAGTGCCGCAGCACTCTGGTGGGCTGTCTTGGAAGGAGGCACCGGGCGACCTGAATGGAGACGCTTCCCCTGTCCGTAGTAAGTGAGGTGCCAGCTTGAGTCCTAAAGTGCATACATGTTCTTTGTCATGTGAAGAAAGTGCCATTCCTGTTCTCATTGTGAAGGGGTATTGAGCTTTCATCACATCACCCTTAGATGTGGTCCTGTGACTGGCCTCTGTAGGTCTGTGTTGCCATGTAGTGTGTTCATGAATTTTCTGCTCTTGACTCAGCCTGGCAGTCCTGGGATAAATCCCAATGAGCCATGCTGTGTTATTTTTTAAGGCGTAGTACTTACTCACGTAGTACTTTTGCATCCATGTTCCTAAGTGACGAGTCTGGCTTCTGCTTGCTCTCTTTCAGGCTGGAGCCGTACGCAGACCCCTACTACGACTACGAGATAGAGCGGCTCTGGCGCAGCGGCCAGTACGAGAACTTCCGGGTGCAGTACTCGGACGCCGAGCCGCACCACAGCTACCGGGTACGCGGCCGCGCGGCCGGCGAGACCACCCTCTCTTGTCTGTGGCCTGTGTGGGCACGTGGACCCATCTCAAGCCCAGACGGACCGGTGTAGGGGGGCTGGTTCTGATCCACGGCTTGCCTTTGTCGTGACGGGAGCGGAGCCGTCCTTAGAGTGGTCGGTGCTCTAGCTGTCTTTGCACTGGAGCTGCCGATTGGCTTGTTTGACACCATTTGCGGGGCCTGTGCCCCTCCTTGAGCGCGTGGCTCTTCCAGGCCCCTCGGGAGCACCTTTACGGGGCGGAGCTGCCCTCATGCGCTGCCATAACCTGGCCACTGCCAGCCAGGCCTGGTGGTCTAATGGAGGACTGTCCTGCGACTGGCAGGTCTGTGCCTCAGCCTGTGAGTCCCTGAGGGTACGCTTTTAGTGTGATGGGGAGGAGCTGCCCCCGGGGAGAGATGAGTCAGCAGCAGGCTAGTGGGTTTTGTGCTAAGCATAAAGTGACAGTCGTGAGTTTTCAGGACCCAAGGGAGGTGACTGGCTGGGGCACCCATCAAATCACATGGTGAGCTTATGGCCAGAGGTGGCCCCTGGCTGACCCTCCCATGCCCCCCTCCCCAGCGGAGCAGCCTTCTTGCCGGGGCAGGGCTGCGGGGCTGGGCTGCGGGGCTCTGGGTGCCTGGTCCCAGTCAGGGCAGCCTTGAAGGTAGCAGGACCTGTGGGGGTGTCCCTACCGCCATGTGCCCCCTCACCCCCGTGTGCCCAGGTCCCCACCGGCCTTTGTGGAGGCTCGGTCCTGTGCATCCCGCGACAAGAGCCAGGCCAGGGAGGCCTGCCTGGGCACGCGGCCTGGGCGTGGTCAGCCTGGAGTCCCTCTGGGTTGGCGTCAGGTCCGTCCCGGTCTCCTCCGCTGGCGCCTCTGCGTTTTCTCCACGCTTCCGGTCCTAAGTGTGCCCATGTTTGGCTTTTCAACTAGGAAAGGGAACGGGAGCGCGAGCGAGAGAACCGGCAGCGCGAGCGGGAGCGCGAGCGGGAGCGAGACCGGGAGCGGGAGC